GCTTTTTTTTTTTTTTTTTTTTTTTTTTTTAAATATATCTTTATTGATTTCAGAGAGAGGAAAGGAGGGGGAAAGAGACAAACATCAGTGATGAGAGAGCCATTGATCGAGCCAGCAACCCGGGCATGTGCCCTGACCGGGAATCGAACCCCGATCGCCTGGATCCTAGGTTGATGCTCAACTGCTGAGCCACGCTGGCCGGGAGGAAGCTCATCTTGAGACCAGGAGCTAAGGTCTGGAAGGAGGCCGCCTGCCCTCGCATCTCTGCCCTTATCGGGGCGTGACTTTGGACCGGGGACACTGAATCCTTATGTACCAAAGTCTCTCTATCAGGAAAACGGCCGACGACAGTGTCCCCTCCCCGAGGATAAATGACGTAATCCGCAGGAAGTGCTCAATAAATACCAGCTCTTCTTATTGTTACCACTCCTGCCTCCCTTCCAAGGCCTCGGTTGGGCATTCGGTCAGCCTCAGACAACACGGGCATGGAGAGCTGGGGAAAACGGGAGGAGTCAGGCTTCGTGGCATTTCTGAGTTTCTCTCTTTTAAATGCCAGCTGTCGGTGTTGAAACAAGATGTTAATTAATCCTGCCGTCGGGGGCGCTCAGCGCTCACCCCTCTCCTCTCGTCTGGTCTCTCCTGTGGTCCAGCTCACACCTCAGCTCGCGGCGGCTCCGCGGTCTCCCACCTCCCCCGGCCTCCGCTCCCAGTCTCTGTCCGAGCTGCCGCGATGCTCGTAATAACTTCCTCCTGCGGTTTTGCACAGAAAAGCCCACCTGGTCCTTCAAGCACCGCTCGAGTCGGGTGCTCTCGGGCAAGTTTTCCTTGATTGACTCTACCTGGGCAGTTTCAGCCGCTTCCTCTCGAGTTCTCCGTCCACACCCCGCCGCAGGCGGGGCCCGGGGCACAGGCTTGGGTTTCTTATCTCCCGTGTTCAGGGTTCGAGCTCTGTGACGTCGGGGAGCCCAACTCGTCTTTAAGAAACATGCTCCGTGAATTAAGCAGGGTGACTTGGGGGCAATGACATACGAGCAGCCGCCTGGCCAATTTAGAAACAGCGTCCCCCGCAGGTGACCTTGTTGTTACCGGGGCTTTATAAATACGCATTAGAGGCCACTGAGATCAACTTCTGTGGGAAGACACTTCCGACCACACCAAGGGGCCGGAAATAATGTCTTTTCAGGACTTGGTGGCACAGCCTGCGGCACACAGGTGCCGCCAGGTGCACAGAGTTAAGATGTAGAGGAAAGTCATCCGGCGAGTCTTTAGCCAGGAGACGACTGCAGAAGGGAAGCTCGGAGAAAGGAGTTTAGACGAATCTGCCGCTTCCAACGCCTTTCCTACAAAAACATCCTGAGCGTGGGGAAGGCAGAGATCGGGGTGATGCCCTCTTTCAGGAATTCGTTCCAACCCCCTCCCTCCCGGCTGTAACTCCTACGGCACCCGGGAGCGGAACCTAACTGCCCTCTAACCAGGCTAGGCGACTAGGAGGCAGGGCCGAGGTGGGACTGGGCTGTGTGGGCAACTAGGAGGCAGGGCCGAGGGGGGCTGGGCTGTGCGGGCGACTAGGAGGCAGGGCCGAGGGGGGCTGGGCTGTGCGGGCGACTAGGAGGCAGGGCCGAGGTGGGACCGGGCTGTGTGGGTGACTAGGAGGCAGGGCCCAGGGGGGCCGGGCTGTGCGGGCGACTAGGAGGCAGGGCCGAGGGGGGCTGGGCTGGGCTGAAGGCGGGGGGCTCAGAGCTCCTCCCGCCCTCCACGGCAGGAGCACACCTCCACCTCCGCAGGATCTGGCGGCAGAATGACCCCCTTCAGCGGGTAACCCACGGCTGGGGATCGGTGCGATTCAATGTACCTCATGGTGCAACGGCTGTGCGAGTGAGAAAGTCGCTCTGGGAGCCACGGAGACGCTCCGCAGGGAGGCAGGGACGCGGCGCTGGGCCGCTCACCTCACCTCACGAGGACACAGTGCGGGAAGGACGCCCACTTAGCAGGTGGGGACACAGGCTCACGGAGGCGAGGGCCTCCCAAAGCCTTGGGGTCGGCAGGGAGGGCGGCTGTGAGGGGAAGGCCAAGGCCCAGGCCGGCCGGGAAGGCGCAGGCGCCCGGCTCAGGGATACACAAGGAGCAGAGCCGCCCGCATCGGGGTGCTCGGGGATCCCCACGATTTCAGACCAAAGCGGAGAGCCTGGGAGTCCCCGCGGAGGGGGAAGGGGCCTCTGCCCTCTCCCGCGGCACCTTCTGAGTGAGGACGGTGCCCTGGAGCTGGGTGCCGGCGCCGGGGACGCTCCACTGGATGCTCCGGGCCACAGGCCTTCCCAGGCCCTCCCTGCCGCCTCCTTGAGAGCGGCCAGTAGGACCCCACGTGTCCTCCTGGCTGGGCTCGGGGACGTCTTTCTTTTGAGGCCTGGCGTGAAGTCACCGGCAATACGGATGGTGTTTACCTGCAGCGGCAGCTGGCGGGCCTGCAGGGAAGACCTGGCGCCGGATCTTTTAATTAGAACAAATTATGCTAAAATTACTGTAAACCCCGCCTGACGGATGACACACAGCGGTGGGAATTCCTTCAAACACCGGTGAACCGGCGGCAGACAAAACGCCACAGGCAAGGCGGACGCAGGACGCGGGGGAGCCGACGCGGCAGGATTGGAGTCGCCGGGCACGTCGGGGCCGCCTCCAGTGGCCGTGCGTTCCCCAAAACGCCGGCCCCACAAAAAAGAGGGAGACCCTCCAAAATTTCCAGGATATACCAGGAATCTTGGAGAACAAATGAGGACAATGAATTATGTTTTCCTTTGATGGAAACCCCCCAAATACAAAGTGAGCACCGATGGAGGGGGCATAGGCCACGGAGTGCAGGACGTGGCATCAGGGGCATGAAATCTGCCGTTACCTCCGCCCTGAGCCTGAGGAAGCCACTCGCCCTGTCTGGCTGGGCCTCAGTTTCTCAGTCTGTAAAGTGGGCACGCACAGCTACGCCTCCCTGCACCGAAGAGGAACACGCGGGCGACACAGCCCATCAAGGAAGGCGGGACGTGCGGGGCTGACCCGCTGTCCATGGCGCGGCCCGCAGAGGGGAGCGCAGAGCTCCAGGTCCCGCGCCTAGGCCCTGGCCTCCACCAAGGACCACGAGGCGGCCGCGGGTCCCTGGGCCGCGCCCTCTCTTACCGCTACTGATGGCCGAGTTTGCAATGACCGTCGCCTCGCTCCACTGGTCGGCACTGGAGACCGAGTAGGACCGCTGCTGCATGCCGTCCGGTCGGCTGAAGGAGCCCAGGCTGGTGCCGCTGGCCATCTGAGACCCAGGCGCACTAGTGACACTCCCTAGGAACAAAAAGTCGGGTGAACACTCCGAGGTGCAGCCGCAGAAGCCAGCTCGTTAGTCTAAGGGGCCTGCTCGCCTGGAAACTGCGGAGGTGGACCCTGGCGCCGGGACAGCTGTCGTCCTGCCCATGGGGACGTGGAAACGTCACATGAAACACCACTCGAGAGGAACCAGAGAGGAACCAGAGGGTGGAGCGAGCCTGGGTGCTTGGCAAAGCATGGTGAAGGGGCGACGCCTCAGGTGACCGCACCCGAAACAACCCCAAACCAAGACCCCGCACGGCCGCCCTCTCTAGATGGAACCGAGGCGCAGGCAGGAGACCCCCTTCTGGGAAAAGCCAAAAAGGGGGCCCTACAGGACGTGAAAGTGACCGCCAGCTGCAGCCAACTTGGGGGCCAGGGGACCGTGTCCACGCTGACGACGCACTTGACAATCGGCACAAGTCAAAGTTCCTGGGTGCGCGTGGGAGGAAATGCAGACCTTAAACCAGGGAAGGTCACCCTGAACCTCGAAAAGACGAAGCGGGCGCCCACGGACGGTGAGGAGATGGCTCCGCTGTAACTCAGTGACCCGAGTCAGCTGCTCGGCATCCAGGTGGATTATTTCATTTTGGGCTCAAACCGTAATGACGTGTCTTTCTCTACAGCTTCGCCGATCACACCTCGCGGCCAGTGAGTCTGTTAGGTCTACGTGCAGATCTTCAAAGGGACCAGGTTTCTTTTTTAAAACTTTCTTCCAATTGTTTTATTTAAAAAAATTTTTTTAACACGACCTGTATATTGCACTGTGGGCCCACCACCCATTCTCCAATCGTTCCACTTTGGAACTGATTATGTTTTAAATTGTCTTAAAAAGAAACCCTCCAGAACCAGAAGGCTTGGGTCTGGCCGTTCTTCCCCATGGGGGTGCTGATCCCCACACCCGCCACCCAGAGCCGACTTCTGGACGGGGCTCCTCCCAACCGCCGCTCCCGGGGCCCGGGCCTGTTCCACCTCCAGGTGAGAATTCCTAGCAGCCCGAGGCTTCGGGACACTGCTGACATTTTTAGGGTGGATGAAAGGGAAACAGAAACATAAGGGAACTGGGGGAAACCAGTTCAGAGAGAACTAGAGGGTACCCGCGAGCTGGGGCGCGCCCCTAAGCCAGGCCCCCCGGGCCGGGGCTGTCACACTGCCAAGCCACTGTGACGAGACAGAAATGTGTTTAGCTGAAAACAGAAAATTGTGGAAGAAACAGTTTCTGCCTTAAATACACAGTCTGCGGAGACACAACCAGGTGCTTGCCTGTAAATGTACCTACACAGAGACACCCCTTCTAACTCGGAGGGAAACCGGACGTCCGCAGACTGGCGCCGGAGCCGCGAAGCAGCCGTGCTGGCCTGGGGTGGCGGGTGGGGGGCCCCGGGAAGCATCCCACCCCAGGGGGGGGCAATCCCGGGCAGGCAGTCACACTTGGAGACATTTCTCCGTCCGTCAAAGAAACCAACTACCCCCAAATGTTTCGTGAATATTTTTAGTACTATACAGACAGTGCCGATGCTCTGGCACGGCCACTGCTGTAGGAAACCGTCACATGTCCTGACCCAGAAACTGGCAGGCTAGTGTCCCCCGAGGAGGGTGAGTCAGACCTGCGCCGACCTGCCACCTCCACTAACACTGACCTCCTAGATTTCCATCCTGCTGGCGGGCACGCGAAGGGGACAGAGCCCCTGTCCCCGGGGAGGCTACAGTCTAGTCCAGTAGCAAGCGTCCGACAAGCCTGCATGCGGCCAAACACACGGCGAGGAAGGCAGAGGAGCGAGGGGAGAGGGCGGGGAGCTCAGCCCGCCGACGGCTCACGAAAGGCTCCGTGGGCCCTGCAGACCTGACGTCAGACTCTGGAACTGACCGTCCCCATGAAGAACAGTGTGCGAAGAGGGGACACTCCGTTATCCCAGGACAACCCTAGCCGCGCCTCTAACTGGCTCACCTGACGGGACGGAGGCCTTCACTGAACAGCCTAACACATTTCTCTCAAGATTCCTGTCTGTGTTTTTTCACCCTCATTGGAGATGTTTCAGAGGGAGAGAGAGCGGTGTTGATGTGAGAGAGAAACATCCGTCAGCTGCCTCCCACCTGCGCCCTGCCCGACGGGGGATCGAACCCGCAACCTAGGTATGTGCCCTGACCCACCGTAGACAGACGCGCAGGAACACGCCCACCAGAGAACACGTGCGAGAATGTTCACGGCCGCACGTGATGGCGGAAACGCCCACCCGCCATGGGTGCCTCGTGGTGCATCCACACGAAGGAATGTGACACCCAGTAAGAACAGGGGGCTACCGACACGGGCCACACAGGACCGCGCCACAGAGGGGTGTGGAGCAAAGGAAGACAGACAGGAGGGCACCAGCTGGCATGAGCCCAGCCAGCGGTTCACGGTCACAGTCAGAGCTCACCTGCGGAGTGAGGAATCAGACGGTCATCACCTGTGAGTGTGTGTGTGTGTGTATATGTGTGTATATATGTGTGTGAGCATGTGTGCATGTGCGTGCATGTGCATGTGTGTATATATGTGCGCGTGCATGCGTGTATATACGTGTGTGAGTGCATGGGCGCGTGTGTGTGCATGTGTGTATATGTGTGTGCATGCGTGTATATGTGTGTGTCAGCGTGAGCATGAGCGTGTGCGTGTGTATATATGTGAATGTGAGCGTGTGTGCATATGTGTATACATGTGTGCGCATGTGTGTATATGTGTGTGCATGTGTGTATATGTGCGTGCGTGCATGTGTGTATATATGTGTGTGAGTGTCAGCGTGAGTGTGTGTGCATGTGTGTGTTCGGGGGAGTGTGGGCAGTGACGGGAGGTGGCCCACAGGGGCCTCCTGGGCAGTTGGCCACCTGCTGCTTCCCAACCTGCGTGCTGCTCACCTGGACACGTTCTTAGCTTTAACTCAGGATTCCGCACTTTCTACATTATAACATTATAACATTACCCACCCCCCAAAAAAAAAACCAAGCCGGAGAAGATCATCTGAATGGTTTGTGCATTCGGAGGTGAGGTCAGAAAGCGTAAGAGGTGGAGTCAGGTCGGGCGGAGGCAGTTTCACCAGCATTAAGTCCCACAGAACCGCCCACCCTACAAAGCCGGGACCCTGGTGTCCCCAGGTATTACCTGCATTACCGTGACAGGCAGGGCCCACTTCCTGGCCCACTCCTGAATTCAGCCACAGTGTGTCCTCAAGTACCCCGTCTAGGCTGAGCTGCGGCCAATTAGCAGGGGGCGCCCATTACCATGCTAATCCGGCCCAGGGCCATCCCTTGATCTGGATCCGCACGCTCACGGGCGCCCTGATTAGCGCTCGCCCCACGTCAAAGCGCCAGATTTTTCCCAAAGAATAATTTTAGCTCTCCTACAGCCCTGAAGTGTACGAGTTGATCTGAAAAGGTACTTACCTCCACCATATGCTATTTTTCTTTAAACAATTTGCATTTCAAAGTGAACCCGGCGTTTCTATCTGAATGCGCCGGCAGTGTGTTGCCGGGCGGATCTCAGAGGCGCAGAAGATGCGGGTTTCCCATCGAGCGAGTGTTTTCATCCACCGAACGGCATCAAAGCCAGAGCCCCTCTTTTCAGCGAGAGGATTATTATATTAAAAATAGCCTCTTCTGATTTCTTAAAAAATACACTCTGCAATGGGCTTTTCATAGCATTCAAGCAAAGGCTCATCAGCAATCATCTCTTTCAAACTACAGCCCTTTGCTCACTGTCGGTGCCCATCTCGGTCCATCTTCACAAACCCGACTTGGCCTCACCCCCGGCGCGGACTGGAAACAATCCTTAGCATCCGACTTCTTGGTTAAATCGCCTGAAAAAGAGCCGCGACTCCAGGCGACAGGTGATGCTGAAGTTCACGTGCATGGAGATGC